TACCCTCCCCCCTAATGCTTAAGTGGACCTGAGTGTGCTTTTGAAACAGAGAATTCTGACTTCAATCCTCTAAGAGCCCTTTTGTATCTCTGACTGACTTTACTTCTACAAATGATCTAAGTACAGTAATAAATACCTCTGTGTATACGTATTGGCAAAGGTAGGCAGAACTGGTTACCTTTATTCTGTTTCTCCTGTTTCAAAAGCCTTTACAGGCCAGAACTCAGTTTGATGCCTGATTAGGGAACAAGGTCTATGACCAAACCTTTAGAAAACTTTAGAAAGATTTTGTTTCATAAGGCAAGGGATTTAGCTCAGTGGCACCATGCCTACTTACAAAGTCTTGAGTTCGATCCCTGGTGCTGAAAAAAAAAAAGAAGATTCTGTTCCATAAACTGATAAACTGGATATCCATGTGGGTGTTCAGACACCTTAGCCTCTCAGTTCCTTTAACATCCTCATGGTCAGTGGTTTTGTTCTACACTGCAGAGCACAGCCACATATCCCTGCAATTTCTCTACTTTTGTGGGTGAGGTTAAGGATTAAACTCAGCTCTTTGCACCCACTCTGCCACTGAGCTATACACCCTGGGGCCTTATCTACTTTTAAGATCACTCAATCAAACATGTTCTCTCCAAACACTAGCCAGCTTGTATCAACACTCTTTGACCTCGCCAGGTCTCCACATCAGCAGCTCCTTTCTGTTTCCTTTATTTCTTTATCTCCCTATCTTTCCCTCCTTATGCTCCTTTGATTCCACAGGTCATCATTTTGAGCACTCTGCAATTATCCTAAACTCCTTTGCTCCTTTGTCCCTTTGTGTCATCTCCCTAGCCCAGAATGAACCTTAACGTCTAGATCTCCCAGGTCTGCTCCTGAACAACAGAAGGCTACCGGAGAAAAATCGCAGGTCAGGCAGAGAGAAACCTTGCCATGTTTGCAGGTGCTACCCTCAATGAAGCTGCAGTGCTGTTCCCAGCATTGAGAAATACTTACAGAGTAAGAACATATCTAAGGGAGGAACTCGGGATTCTGAAACATAAGAGAGCAAGCAGAGGAGCAAGCAAATGAGACTGGAAAACTAGATCAGTGCAGAAGAGAACCGGATGGGAATAACTTAGGAGCAAAGGGACTGAGAATTACAGCAAGGTGTAGCTAACGGCCATCACCTCTTTGGAGAAAAGTTGTTTGTATCACCCAGACCTCATTAGTTGTTTTCCTCACACAAGACCAAGCCTAGCTCATCTTCTTTTGCAAGGGCTTGAGGAATATCAGTTTAAGCTGGCCAGGTCACTGAACACTGAGCACAACAAACATGGAAAGAGTGCGGAAGAGTCAAGAATCTTGAGATCTTGAAGAGGCTGAAGAACGGGCTTGGGTGAAATGAGATCGACAGGGTAGAATGAAGGGCAGTTGCCATTGGAGAGTGGGATTCCAAGAGCAAAGTTCTCGAAGGTCAGGCAGGGATGGGAAATCACAGGGCCCCAAGTGTGAGCGCAGCGTGGATAGGACAATGAAGCCGAAACGATTCCCACCAGAGTCTTCGAGTTAATTGTCTCTGGGTCTCCCTGCCCCAGTCATGAGCTTTTAAAGGACATTCATCATTTTGTTTATCTATGTGTCCATAAAGTAACACCTGGCACACAGTAAGTAAACAGAAGGTATAAGTATTTAAGCTAACCACTAGGGATTCAATGGTTAGCAGAAACGGACATAGTACTAATCTTAATGAATTATGCAGCTTTGTGGAGGAAGAAACAGACATTAATGAAATAAGCAGAAAAAGGTATATGGAATTACAAATGGCAGAATGTGCCCCAAAGTTAACACAGCGCAGTGTAATGTATCCTAGGAGAATCTGAAGCCGTGTCTGAGGGGGAGAAGAGATCCCTGATAAGAGATGTTCCAGACAGAGGAGTGGGAGTTATTATCAAACTAACTCTGGAACTGCTCCACTTCTGACATCTTAAGTGATACATAATGAAAAAATTATAAACTACTATAATTACCTTTTTTTCTACTTGCAATCAAAAGTAATACTAACTATATAGCAATTTCTAAATACAGTAGTAGAAGAGAATCAAAGTCATATAAATGTTTTATATTAGCAGTTTCTCTCCCTTTACAAATGTAAGATGATTCCTACTATCACCAACTAACCCAGGGCTAGGAGATGGGTTTTGGACTAGTATTTTGACACAGTCTAGTGATTATTGTGCATGTGCATGCATGTGTGTGTACAGCTTTCTCCTTGCTTCTTTTGAATTCTTCGTTCTAGAGAAGAAGTTACAGCAAGGCTACCCTGAAGTGATGTGATTGATGTCATTCCTGCCCAGGTGGCCTCAACAAGGACGCGTCACTATCTAAATGGACAGCGAGCACAAAACATGTCACAGGACGGCCTGAAAATGAGCAAGTCGTTGGCTTAGGCTCAAGGGCAATAATCATAATCTGTGCTGGATGGATTTTAAAGCTCTTCGAGAAAGGGACAGAAATGGGGTCACGAGGCCCTGAGATTTAGCAGTCAAGAAATGATGGAAGATCCCACTGAAAACCCAAGGAAACTGGTCCCAGTCCAGAGCTCACAGCCTAGGGCATGAGAAGCACATGCCAGCATTGGAGTACAGATAGACCAGGGTTTGATTTCAGGCTCACATACAGACTGCATGACCTTTGGCCAACTACTTCATCTCTCCCAATTTTAGTTTCCTCCTTTTGACATTAAGGAATAATAATACTTATCCTACAAAAATGTCGGGATAAATGAGATATTCTAGATACAGTAAAACATTTCTCATAAATACATATTAGGTATTTCCATGTAATATAAACTTTTCAGGTCTGTTTTGGTTAAGGGGAAGCAGAAAACTAAGAAATAATGTCATAATAGAAAACATAACTGAGGGAAGAAGAATCAGAAGTAGAAAGAATTAAGATGTGTTATGTACACGAACCGAGTCCCACGATGAATATAACCATTATGTACTACAAATGTATTAATGAAAATTTAAATTAAAAAGGAAAAATGTGATGAGCAAAGTCATGAATTAATGCACGTATTTCAAATGAATAGATTGTCAGAGACAATTAATATGCTTGCATTTTATAGTTATGTTTGCATTTACTAAGATTAGTATGTGATGTCTGAGCCAGTTTTGTTTGCTTTCTAGTTTTTCTTTGCAGGTTTTATTTATACTATACAAATAGCTTTCCCAAGCGCTCATAGGGCATTTTGAGCTTCTTCTTCAAAGAGTTGTATGATACTACTATTAGAGAATAAGATAAAAAATAAAAGCTTAGAACCGGGTAGGAGAGATGGAAAGAGGGAAAGTCTGTTTGTCTACCTATTTTATGGGTATCTTTTCCAAAGGAGCATAAATTTTGAAGTAATTTTCCCTCTTCCTCTCTTTGGTTAGGTCTCTACATTACAATGATGGATTGTCTGTAGCTTCGTAGTCTCCAAGTATGGGAGAGTACTGAATGCTTTTAAAGAACTCCTTGGAGCTGTGCGCTAGTCAGCCAGCTTTTGAATCTTTGAAACAGAAATCTTTAAGTTGTGGAACTTAAAGGAGGTGAGGTTTTATTTAAGAGGTTTAGTCCATGGATAGTTGGCTCCAGTGTGTAAGGTTGTGGTGGACCTAGGCTGCTCACTTTTTGGTGGCTAGGAATGGCACCACAGAGGAAGGGGTCAGAGACCAGATGTAGCCCCAAGGTCACACTTCCCTGACTAATACAGACATATCCAGATGCGTGCTTTTCTAAACCCTTATACAGCTCGTAATTTGATTAGATTGACAATGTACTTTAAATGTCACAAGGTATAACTAGTAATACCTGACGAAGGCTCAGATGTAAAGATATTAAAGATTATTTTCAGAATACTAATAATGAACCTAAAAAAATGTTCAGAAAAGATTTTACAAAAAATCAAGCAAAACCTGTTCCGTGTTGAAGGTAACTAGTAAATTAATCATTTCTGCATACCTGATGTCCAGCTAGGTTTGCCACATAGAGGAACAAATAAGACTTATGCAAGAAGAGAAAAACAGAGAAATAACATTTGTTAAATGCTGACCATGGATCCAGCTCTATACTAGATGCTTTTTACATGTGAAATCTTCAGCTTTTGAAAGATCCTGTGAAGTCAGAATTATCCACCCCATTTTGCAAACAAGGAAATAGCCTTAAAGAACTTGTTTTAAGTTTCTAAGACCATGCAATGAATCACAGCAGAGCTGACTGGAGTCCAGTACTCTAATGAGGATAATAAAGATAAAAATGAAAGACTTTCATTTCTAAAGATGATGTTTAGGATGAAGTTCATTAGCACTTTCTTCTCTCTCTTAACAATATATAATATAAATGAAAATATACCTAAAGACCTTAGCTGGTCAACTACCACTAATCACATTTAACCATGGGTATTCGTGCCACCTATTTAACTTTAAGAGTTGCTGTGTAGGGGAATGGGGAGGGAGTGTAACTTAGTGGCACAGTGTCACCACTAAGCTTGCACAGAATGTTCAAGGTCCTGGGTTCTAGCCTCAGTAGTACAAAAAAAAAAAAAAGTTGCATAGCTGCACAGGATCACATGCCCAGAAGCACCTTGTTGATGATAAAACCTCCATTACGACTGAATAAGCCACTGTTCCTGGACCCATTGGCCCATACAAGTGTGTTGGAGAAGCCAGGCTTTTGTTTCCTCCTCTGGTGCAAACGAATCCTTCCTGCCGTCTCCCAGAGAACACTGGTAAGATATGACTGGGTGGGAAACTGGGACTGTTCCTTTGGTACTCCCTGAAGAAGGTCAAGGCTAGGTTGGCATTGTCCTCAATAAGAGTTATTGTGATCATGGTCCAAAGTCTTGCAGGAATTTTTTTTTAATTGTTTGCTTTTTATTTTTTTTTTTTTTTTTTTTTTTTTTTTTGATGCTATCTGGAACACCAAGGGCAATTCTGTGCCAAGCCACAAGCAGATTGAAAGTCCAGGACTTCCCCTGAGGCACCAGCTTCCTTTTGCATTTGGGACAAAAGGAAAATCTTCCCAAGGGTATAAATTTGAGAACTTCCTTCTAGTTCACATTTCAGACAAGGGTGTGCTCAATCGACGCCCTGGCATCCATGATCAGAGTGAACGGGCAGAGTCCGGGAGACACAGGGACAGAGCACTTTCCCAACTGGACCAAACCCCTGGATTCCAGTAAGTATGATCCAGCATCACTGATTTGACTTCCCAAGGTTATGGTGACCTAGAAGCTTTTCAGCCATTGAGCAGTTGAAAATTGGAAATGTCACAATTGAGTAATCTTGTTACTATAAGCTTTTTCTTTATATTTTTCTTAGGCTATACAATAAGGGAAATAGAGCCTCTCGGTACAATACTGATTAAGCCCCAAATGACATTACAAGAAGTAGTTTAAGCAATGCACATGAGGAGAGTCTCCTGAATGAGATGGAAGAGCTAAACTGGAAGACTTCTTGGGGGAGGGGCAGTAACAAGAGATACAGGCAGAACTATGCAAAAGTTTGATTCTTCTTCCTTAGAAAGAATGGCAAAGTGGTAAAGACCAAGTTTTAAGTTAGAATTTGGCTCTGCTTCTTCTTTGTGTATGTGTGTGTGTGTGTGTGTGTGTGTGTGTGTATGTGTGAGAGAGAGAGAGAGAGAGAGAGCGAGAGACAGGGAGACAGGATCTCACTATGTAGTTGAGACTGACCTGGAACTCACTAAGTAGCCCAGGCTGGTCTTGAACTCACAGCAATCCTCCTGCCTCGGCCTCCTGAGTACTGGGATAACAGGTGTGCGCCACCATGCCCAGTTCTGCTTCTCTTTGATTATGTGATGAAATGCAAGTTGTTTAATCTTCCTAATAACTCTTTCCTTGTTTATAGTTGTATATTACATCATTGTAAAAATTATAAGAACTTTATAGCATTGTTATGAGCCTCTACACACATGCCGTTTAGAAATACTTAGAATGTTTTACATAATAAATAGTAGCTGTTGTGAAACAATCATAGAACATCTGAGCTGTGAAGCACCTGACAACTAGCATTTACTTTACTCCTTTAGTAAATTGTTACATACTGAACGCTCTTCGTCAGCCTATCTCACTTGATGCTCATGGTATTCTTACGAGAATGGTAACGTTATTTTAAAGGTAATTTTACAGATGAAGAAACGGAGACATAGAAGGGTATTGTAATATATTCAAGTCACTTCTCTCACAACGAAATGGTGTGAGATTTAAGCCCAGACCCCGCAGCACACAAAACCATCCTGCCTTACTGCTTTATCAGTTGTCTCGTTTTATGATGACTGGGGAGAAGGAGGAGGCATGGTCCCTGTGGATGATACCAGAGCCCTTCACAGATAGTGGCAGGTCAGAGATGTCCTTTGGTACCCAGTGCACAAGGAGCGTGACCGACGTTGGCAGGGTCTGTGAGCATCAGTGTGGTGGGCGTGGGGGATCCAACATGGGACTTAGGTGTAAGTCCCCTCACTTTCCCTCTCTTGCACGTAGCTTTTCATTTGTAAAACTACCTACTTCGTAATGCAACAGCTCTGAGACAGAAGAGAAATCATATATACAAATGTATACAGCAAGTGCCCCATCCCTGAGTCTCCTTAGCTCTCTCTGAGTGAGCTAAGTACAAGCTCTGATTGAAATCTGAACCAACAGGAAGTTCTCAAGCCAGTATCCTGTGAAGATTTTACTCTTGTCCTTTATCAACTAGGAAGAGCTTTAAAAATAATTATCTGAGCAGAAAAGGAATGATTTTGGAATTGTTGGCAAAGAAAAAGAAATGCCCTCTAACAGCTCATAGTAAATCCAGTGCTTTAAAATGTGTTACACTTGGCTAATCTCTCCTGCAAGGTCCTCAGATCTAAGCTATGAGCTGCATTACTATGTTAGCTAAATGTTGCACAGGAGGATAGCTGAGTCTCAAATACATGGATGAACACAGGGTGATGGGTTGAAAACAACTTATTCCTAATTCTTTAAGCAGTGAAATCTTGAAAAAAAAAACACATGAATTTGATACAAAATCTCAGGGGTGATTTTTAATTTTGTCCATTCTTTTGAGGGGTTGGGCAAGTTTTTAGGTTATGTTTCCTTCCCTAGGAAGAATTGTTCTTCCTGGGAATGAAGGCCTTTGGCCTCATTAGCTTGGCACTTTTCCTAAGCATTGCACTGGGCAGAGTGAGCCCATCATATCAGGTGAAGGCCAAGGGCAACAGGCCTTCAACATACACCTTAAGATGCCCCAGAAAAGTTGTCATTTTCTCAAATTGCACTACTGTTACTATATAGGATATCTAAAGAAAGAAAACCTTTTCAGGCAGAGTAGGTATGGTTTTAATGTCTAGGAAATTTCCCCATTGGTCTTTAAAGAGCTTTCACTTGCCACTTGCTTCTGTCTAATTGCCAAAAGTATGCTTTTGAGAACATCAGAGCATCTTATCATAAGACTTTCAGACTTCATCATTCATATACATATATATATGTATGTATGTATGTATGTATGTATATGAATAAGTTTTTGCAGAAGAAAGGGAGGGGAGGAACTGACATGACAGTTAAAACATCAAAGGTCCTCTGAGTCGTCAAAGGACCTCTCTCTTCTGTCTTCTCTCTCTATTTTACCAGGACTGCCCTGGCACTTTTCTTTTCAGGGCCGTCTATGTTGACAGTGTTACTCATTCAGGGCAAACTTGGCCACTGACACAGTCCTAGTCTCTCAGCTGTCACCTGCCTCCCACCCTTGCCGGAGTCCACTTCCATCCCTTGGTTCCCTCACAGCCATGGAGTCACCAGGAGTCATTCAAGGAAAGGCTTCCCTTGTCAGCCTCAGCCCCAGAGTCAGCCACCTGAGAACGGCCACACAGAGGCTGAGGCATTTGAGAACGGGAGGTTCTTTTGTATTAGTTTCTCTCTGGAGAAGGTGAGGCCCTGGCATGAAGGTTTATCTTGAGCTTCCTGTCAGCTGTCTGTATTTTGCCCCTGGTCCCCTGTTCCTGTCTCCCTTCCTTGGTGTTGGTCCACCCCAGGGCTCTCATATCAGAGCTGCTGACAAAGCAGGAACAAAGTCCAGGGAGGATGGCTCCTTCGTTAGTCTACAGAACACACACTTGGTGAGTACATGCTGCTTGGACATGCCCTGCTCACTGTGGCTACTGTCGGCAAAGAAGGAACGGAAAGGGAACACCCCATAACCCCCCTCGTCACTCTGAACTGAATGATTCACTGGCTAGTCAAGGCTGCATGCTGTTGTTTGGAGACTGATGCTTAAACCTTCTTTTCAACAGATGCCAGCAGACAGTCATGATGGAAACGGAATCTCCAAAGAGTCCAGGTACCCAAGAGGCATGATCTCAGAAGGCAAAATCTTTCTTTTTTTTTTTTTTTTTCAAAAACGACAAATTTCATTATGCTAAACAGGGTGCAGACACTTGTTTTAGTGGGGAGAACTGGTGGCATGATGGGATAATTCTTGGTTTGGAGAATGTAGTAGACATTGTTGCAGTTAGTTATTTTATAAGAGCTGACCTGTTTAGGAATTTAGCATTTTCTGATGTTCATGGGCCAAAGGGTCCACTGGTTGCTTGGAAACAATGCTAATAAAAACTAAGGCCCCGCACTGACAGGGTTTTATTTCCTTAATTTTGCATGGTATTCTCACTTAGGAAAACTGTTTAAATTGCTATCTGGGCTTCTCATGAGGTAACTCAAAGTATATTATATTATTCAAATATCCTTGCTCTTGTTCACATAGCTCATTGTTGGTAAGTGGCTGGAGGAATGGAGTTCAGGATGAGGTGACCTAGAAATCAAATTATCCAATTCAACTCAAAAATACTGACAAAGAACCCATTATTATAAGTCTGTATGCTTCCTAAAGTAGGAGATATACAGATGAATCAATGAGTCACCACTGCCTTTAAGTTTGAAATCTTGTTGGGCAGTTAAAACAAACACATGTAAATAGGTGTATTGGGAAATTAAGATCAGTACATTTAATCAGGCTATGCTGTAATCATGAAATAGGTACAAGAATACTGTGGAATCTGAAGAACAAATCTATAGTTGTAGGGATGGAGAGATGCATTGTGGAGAAGGTGTTTGGGCTGAACCTTACAGGCTGTGCAGGGGTCTAAAAGGGATAGGAAGACAACACATATCAGCAGAAGGGGTGGCATAAACAAAAACAAGAAAGTAGTTTAGAGGCAAATGTGTCAGAACAAAATGGGATTGATTATAAGGCGGGATGGGGAGAACAGAGAACGAGGGTGAGAAAGGCAGTCCCATCCTGCGCAGACTTAGATCCTGAAGCGTTTGAGTGCGAACATGGCATTGTCATGTACTTTAGATCTCTCTCTCTCTCTCTCTCTATTTTTTTTTTCAGTACTAGAGATTGAACCACTCAGGGTCTTTGCAATGAGAGGCATCCCAGCCTCTTTTTAAATGTTTTTATGTTGAAACAAGGTCTCACTAAGTCACTATTGCTCAGGCTGGGTTCAGAGTTGTGCTCCTCCTGCTTCAGCCTCCTAGAGCGCTGGGGTTACAGGCATGTGCCACCACACCTGAGTGTTAGATTGGTCATATTTTAATAGTGTTATTGTATTATAATTGACATACAATGAGCTGCACGTAGTTAAAATGTACAACCTGATGTTTTGATGGATGTGTTCACCTGGGAAACCATCACCATCTCAAGGTAGTGAAGGTATCCAACACTCATCCAATACTCACAGAAATTTTCCTAGGACTGTTTGTAATTCTTCTTTCTAGCAGCCTATCCCACTCCCCATGTCACTGTTTGCACTTACTAGAGTTTTATATAAATGAAGGAATCATGCAGTATGCACTCTTGTTTGCCCCTTTTCACTCAGAATAATTCATTTGAGATTCATCTGCAGGGCTGTGCTTATCAGTGGTTTGCCTCTTTAGTGAGTGGTACTCCCTTACAGGGCTGCACCATAATTTGCTGACTCGTTTACTTACCAACAGGCATCTAGGTCACTTCCGGTCTTGTCAATTTCAAAGACAGCTCATATGGACACACTGTATATAAATTTTTGTAAAATCATATAGTACTTTAAGAATAGAATGGCTAGCCTTTTGGAAGGAATGTGTTTACTTTTTTCAAATTCATGTGTTCGATTATTAAAAAGTTTTATCGAGGTATAGTTGGCGTAGTGTAAGCTGACGTTAAAATCTACAGTTATCAAACTGTACAACCATAAAACCGTCACCCAAATCAGGGTACTGAACTTACCCACCAGCTTTACGTTTTTGGAGTTGTTCCACCTTTCACTCTTTCCACTTCCCAGACAGCCACTGATCTGCACTCTATCTCTATAATTGTTGTGTTTATTCTAAAGTTTTATGAAGTACAATCCTTTTGAGATTCATCTATGTTGTTGCATGTATCAATAGTTTGTTTCTTTTTGTTCCTGAATAGTATGCCATTGTATATCACAATTTATTAATCCATTCATCTGATAATGAACATCTAAGTTGCTTCTATCACAACTGTTGCAGTAGTTGCTCCTATTCTATAGCTACTAAAAATAAAGCTGACAAGTCTCTCTGTATGTTATATATTCTTTGTTGGTATGCTTCAAAGAATTTTCTAGTTTCACATAAGTTGTTACAATTATTGAAATAAAGTTGTTCATTATCTCATCAGTAGAATCAGTAGTTAGGTGCTTTCTTTCCTCCTAATATTGGCAATTGCATCTCTCTGTTTTTCCTGATGTGTCTTGCTACATAGAGGTTTGCTATTGTAGTTGATTTTCAATTAATTGACTTTTGGTTTCACTTTTGGTTTTCTCTTGTTTTCCTCTTTCCTCTTCTATTGAGTTCCACTTTAACCTATTTCTTTTCATTAATTTACTTTAAATTTAATTCATTTTTTTCTAGTTTCTTAACATGGACACTGAGATTATTGATGTGAAGCCATTCTGCTTTTCAAATACAGGCATTTAGTGTAATAAATTTTTACCCAAATACTGCTTTAATGGCACCTACAAATTCTGATACATTGTGTTTTAATTTTTTTGTGTGTGTGTGGTACCAGGAATTGAACTCAGGACCTTGTGCTTGTCAGGCAGACGCAGTGCCTCTGAGCTATATCTCTGTCCCCATGTTCCAATTTTCATGCAGTTTAGAAAGTTGTCTACCTCATTCTAGGGTTTAGTCTTTGACTCAGGGCTTACTTATTTCAGGAATATATTTTTGAAATTTTTATTGATTTCTAGTTTGATTAGAAAATTTTCTCACAGAATATATAATTTATGTTACTTGAATCCTTTTAATTTAACGAGACTTGTTTTGTAGCCCCAAACATGATCAATCTCTGTTATGTTACTGTGCCCTTGAGAAGAGTGTTGGATACTGCTGTTGTTGAGTAGAGCATTTTATATATGTGTGTGTGTGTGTGTGTGTGTGTCAATCAGATTACATTGGTAGTGTTGTTTAAGTCTACAATATCTTTCTTAATTTTTTTTTTACTTATTTGCTCTAGAAGTTATTAAGAGAAGGGTATTTAATTATCTGACTATAATTATGGGTGTCTGTTTTTCATTGTAGTTTTATTACAGTTATTTTGGTTTTCATTATTATTGCAATTTGTTGTTGGGTTTTTTGAGACAAGGTCTCATTAGGTGGTTCAGGCTGGACTGAAACTCACTCTGTGGCCCGGGCTGGCCTCAAACTTATGGTGGTCTTCCTGCTTCAGTTTCCCAAGGGCTAGTATTATATAGCCAGTTTTTTTCTTGTTTTGTTTTTGGTGCCTGGGATCAAAACTCAGGACGTTACTCTTTTGAGGCAGGCAGCACCACCACGGAGCTAACTATCCAGCCTGAGTGCTAGTATTATAGGCATGCATCATCATGACTGACAGTTCTGTCATTTTCTTGTTTTCTGGTTTAGTGTGTTTTAAGCTATGCCATTAGGTGTACTCTTTATGTTATTCACTCTTAGGGCTGTTATGTACTCTTAGGATTAAGTGGTCCCTTTATTATTATAAGATGACCTTTATTCTTGGTAATATTCTTTGGTTTGAAGTCTACACGGATGCTAATATAGTCATGCATGTTTTTTCTAAGTTTTCACTTGTCAATTTCTTATGTCTTTTTTTTTTTATATATGTTTTGTTTTGTTTGTTTGTTTGTTTGTTTGTTTTGGTACTGGGGATCAAACTCAGGTCCTTGCGCTTGCAAGGCAGGCCACCGAACCACTGAGCTAAATCCCCAGCCCCTATGTCTTCATATTTAAAGTATGTTTCTTATAAGCAGCATATAGTTGGGTCTTGCCTTTTTTTTTTTTTTAATCTGACAACCTGTGTCTTTTAATTGAGGTGTTTAGGTGATTTACATTTAATGTTACTAGTAATGTGGCTAGGTTTAAGTGTATGATATTATTATGGTTTCTAGTTGTCTCATTTGTTGTCTTGCCCTCTACCTCCTTCTGGATTGAGCATTTAAAAATTATTCTGTCTTACACTGGGTGTGGTGGTGCACATCTGTAATCTCATCACCTGGCAGGGTGAGGCAGGAGAATCACCATAAATTTAAGGCCAGCCTACACTACATATTGTGTTTGAGACCAGCATAAACTATAAAGCAAGACCCTGTCTCAAAAAAAAATTATTCTCTGTTATTTTCCTTGTTGGCTTATTAGTTATCACACCAAACTTTATTATTTTATGGTTTATATACATTTTCAACATATCACAGTCTAATCTCAAGCATTTTTATAAGAACTTTAGACTCTATTTCCATTTTCCCTTCGTGGTCTTTATGTATTTTACGTATACATCTATTATTATCTGCACAAGGCTTTGTTAGTTTTGTTTAAATAGCCAGTTGGCTTTTTAAATATTTCAAATAATAAGAAAATCTAACATATTCATCTTTGTAGTTACCATTTCAATGTTCCTAATTTATTTTATAAGTTCAGATTTCTATCTATTTTTTTCCCCTGCCTGGAAGAAAAAGTCTCCTGATGATGAATTCTTTCAGTATTTGGGTATCTGAAAATGTCTTGAAATTTCCTTCTTTTTTTGAAAGCTATTTTTTGCTGCACATAGAATTCTGAATGATAGCATATTTTCAGCACTAGAAGTATATTATCCCACTCTTTCCTGCTTACATTGTTCCTAAAAAGAAATCAGTATTTTTCTTTCTTATCTTTGTTATGCATGCATCACTGATTTAAATTTTTTTTTCTTTATCACTGATGTCGAGCAATTTGACTTTGGTGTACTTCATTTCATATGTCTTGTGTTTTGTGTGTTTGAAGTTTGTTGAATTGCTTGGACCTCTGAGTTTATATTTGTAGTATTTTTCTTTGAATATTTTTGTCTGTAATGAACTCCAATTGCTTGTATATTGGGACACTTGAAACTGTCTACAGTGTATAGGTACCTTTTTATGATTTTAAATTTTTTTTTAGTGACTTTATTTTTATAATCCTCATTGTTATGCTTTCAGGTACATATTTTATTCTACAATATTCAATCTGCTGTTAACTGCCATTCATATTATATTTTCTTTAAGACATTGTAGTTTTAAGGTCTAAAAGTTCACTTTGAGTGTATTTTATTTTATATCTCTACCTAATTCTTGAAAATATAGTGATAATTATTTATGACCTCTTTGGCCAATTCTAAATCATTGTCAGTTATAGATTAGAATTAATTGATTACTCTTGTCATTATATGTCATGTTTTTCTGCCCATTTTGCATGCTTGGTAATGTTTGGCTGAGAGCCAGACATTGCACATTTTACTATTTTGAGTACTGGATCTGTTGTTGTTGTTACTATAAATCTTGAGTTTTGTTCTGGGGTGCAGTTGAGTTTCTTGGAAACAATTTGTTCCTTTTAAGACTCGGTTTCATGATTTGTTAGGTGGGTCTCGCACAGTCTTCAGTCTAAGACTAATTATTCCTCACTACAGAGGCAAGACTTTCCTGGGGTCTCACCTAACATCCTAGAAATTATAGGTTTTCCCACCATGGCTGGAAGGAGCAGGCAATTTTCTCAAGTGAGCACTGAATGATGGTGTCTCTAATCTCTTCTTTTTAACTTTATTAAATTTATTGGTATATTTTAGGTATATAATACCATTACATCCATCACTGGGATCTTGTACTTTTACATGACTTATCTTGGTTCTTATTTTCCCCATTCCCCAGCCCTCCCTTCAGCCCCTCCACCCTTCCCTATTTGTAAAGACATTGTTTCCATGTTTTTCCTTTTCACATATTTTTTCTCTACCTTTTTTACTTTCCCTCTACCCCTCCCACTTCCTCTACTCTTTTAGACTTTTTCCTCCTATTACACAATATCAATTATATATTTTGATCCTTATTTATACTTTCAGTTTTTCACACCAGAGAAACTATTCAGTATTTACATGTGTGTGACTTATTAATTTTACTTAAGAGTATGGCCACAATGTGCATCCACTTAGCTATAAATATCTCGTTTCTCATTCTTTATGGCTGATTAGTACTCCATTTTATTTTTTAAAAAAACACATCTTCTTTATCCAGTCTCCAGCTGATGGGCAATTGGGCTGTTTCCAAATTTTAGCTATTACAAACTGTGCCTCTGTGAACATGGGCACACAGATATCGCTGTGGTATGATTCTTTTAATTCTTTTGGGAAGATACAGAGCAGAGAAATAGCTGGGTCAAATGGGACTTCTTCTCCTAGTTGTTTGAGGTATCGCCATACTGATTTCCACAGTGGTTGCACCAAGCTGCACTCTCACCAAAAATGGAGAAGGGTTCCTATCTCCCTACAACCCAGCCAGCAATTGTTATTTATTTCTTGATAGCGGCCATTCTTTCTGGGGTGAGATGGAATCTTAGTGATGTTTTAATTTGTTCTAGCAGTTGTTTCTCTGGACCCAGGCAGTTTCAGCACACACATGTGCTGATCAATACTCTTGAACAGGTGAGGACAACTATGTATGTTGCCTTTCAGGTTAGGAAACATAAGCAAAACCACCTGCTACTGAAAATGAGGTGGCAAAATGCTTAAACAAAGAGATTCCCAAAGCATTAACATCTTCTTTGTAAGTGTTGGATTTGTAGGAGCTTTTCTTTCTATTTCCCAAAATGGACATGAGAAATACACATTACTTTCATTATGTTGGTAGAATAAAAATTTTAAGAGCTTAGTTTTATTTTTATATCCAGGATACAGGTCTAGTTTGCCCTTAGCTTTGGAAAAGGCAAACTTTACAAAGGTTTAGAATATCTTCATTAAATAATAAAAATAGAATCAGGATTCTGTACTGCAGGTATTGAGACCATTATTCTATTATGAAGTAATTTTAGTAAGGCAGCTATATTGATCTTTTCTCTTTCATAACTTATACAGCAACTTCACCTCCTGCCCCCCCAAAACCACTTTGACACCTAATTTTTAATCACAGAGGGTTTTGCTTTTATTTGCTAAGCCAAATAATGTCAAGAAACAGTTTGCTCCTATAATGGAAATGCAGAGAAAGCTTTCACGTGTAGACAGTCTGTAACATGCTGCCAAAACGGAGAGCCAGGCTGGGGATTTGGCTCTGTGGTTCCGCTGCTGGCTTCACAAGTGCAAGGTTCCAAATTCGATCTCTGACACGACACACACACACACACACACACACACACACACACACACACACACACACACACACACACACACACACACACACACACACACACACACACACACACACACACAGAAACAGAGAGCCAGACAGGCATGAGTTGAATGACGGTGCTTCTATACATGATCTGAATGAAAGCCACAACTATAGGTGGATAAGAAGCACATACTTAGTCCTTTGTTTTCTTGGGTTATTGTAGATGTTCTTTTGAATAACCGAATAATTAGAAAATCTTTCCAGAGACAAACAGTGCTTTCCAACTGTTCTTTTAAGATATTTATAAGAACAAACTGAGTCCTGTTCACTTTCTTTTATTAGGCAAACAATTTACATCTTATTATGAAAATGAAGTCTATAAACAAGATTACTTTATTAAGTCACCACCTCCTCAGCTTTTCTTCTCCACAGTAAGTATTCACTACAGTTTAACAAGCCTCCCACCAGCTTCATGAGCATTTTTTAATGTCTTTTTGCTTCATCTGAGATTTAACTGAGTTGCAAAACTTTTTCTTTTCTTTTCTTTTTTTTTTTTTAGGCTTTTTGGAAAAGGCGGTTTTTTATTCTGTCAAAGAATGGGGAAAAGAAACTTACTCTTTGCTACTACAGAGACCATCATCGCCGAGGTTCCATTGAAATCGATCGGTCTGTATTCAAGCAAGAAAACTTTTATAACAACAAATACTATCAAGTCAAATACTAACAAGCTGCGTGCATATTTGAATTTAAATTGTTGGTTTCTTTTTTCTTTTGGTACTGGGGATTGAACTCAGGACCTTGAGCTTGTGAGACAGTTGAAATTAAATTGTTGACAGAAATTTCAAACCTATTATAATATTTGTAGCTGAAAGGGAACTAAAGTAATGAACATTTTGGGTAAAAGTAGTTAAAGATTTAGTTCATATAATTATGGTTCATATATCTATAATTAGTAAATATTCAGTTAAAAAGAGCTTTAGTTCATTTAATTTGTAGATGGGGTGGGGGAGTAGATGAAATTGCTATTTTGTAAAGCCAAGATGGATTAAAAAATATTTAGATCAGCTTTTTGCCTTCTTTTTAAGAAATAATCTAAAAAACTGGAAAGCATGATGATTTATGGAATCAAGAATCCAACCAAAATAGGACCCTTTGAATTAAATTTCATGCTAAGGAAAGTATTTCCAATTAATGATTAACTACATGCAAAATCCAAATTTATTTTCTATAATAAAATAATTCAAATAACAATAATTAAATTTTTGGATAATCTCAAAAAACAAAGTAAGCAGATCCTAAATTTTATCCACTTTGAATCCTAATACAGCACAGTGAGTTTTCTTCCTAATTTTTTTATGAACTTTGGGTTTAGTACTATGTATCTACATTAACAGAAATTCCAGCGTAGAAATTGGTATAAAGAACCCAGAAAAGATGCAATCTGTGCAGAAGATGTTTAAATGCCAACCTGATCAAGTGATGTCCATCAGTACCACTAACAGGGATTATTTCCTCATTAATGAAGACAGGTGAGTAATACAGTGTGTCTCCTATGTGTGAAACAAATCCACTGAAAAACAAAACAAAACAAAACTTTGTAATAAACAATAAATATACTCTGACCAAAAACCCACAGCTACGTACTCAGATGCCATTTTGGCAGGCTTCATTATTTGTTTAAATGTCTTTTAAAACTCACTATAGTAGTTTCCTTGGGCTGCTGTAACAAAATACCACAAACTGGGTGGCTTAGAACAACACAGATGTATTATCTACTAGACTGAGTCCAAAATCAAAATGTTAGCAAAACCATGCTCTCTGAGCCTGCACCAGGGCTCTCCTCTAACATCTGGTAGTACCGCGGCTTGTGGTGCTCTCCCTGTGTGCACGCATATCTCTGTGTCCAAATGACGCCAGCCTACTCTACTCCAGTGTGACCTCATCTTGACTAATTATATCTGCAATGACCCTATTTCCAAATAAGATTACATTCTTAGGACTGGGATTGGAATAGGAACATATTCCAGGGGAGCACAAATCAACTCATAATAGTCCCTGTCACCCAGATGTATTCCATGTAAAAGAACGCAATACACAAGCATTTGCATAAGTGGAGCATATCAGGGAGGGACACTGCCCTCTGCTGAAGGAGTCTTTGGTTTTTAAGAGGGTTTCCTGGGGCTAGTGAAGGTGCTCAGTGGATTCTTCACACATGGTGATCTGCTTGTGAGGGGCTATGGTGAGGAAAGGAGGCAGCAACTGCTGAAGCCCAGGCATGAGGGACCTTGATCTGTTTTAGACCCACCCAAAGCCCCGATGTGAGTCAATGGAAAATAAGATGCAATTTACATAAATTCATTCAAATACAGTTTTAATAAGAACATGCATTCTCTATAGGTTGACACACCTGGATAATTACATAAAAATGGTGCTGACAGGTTAGGGGTTTTCTTAAGATCACAATAGAAATCAGTGTTAAAGCCCAAAGTCCCAAACCCTGTGATTACTATTATTACTACTTCTCTTCCTTTTTCTCTGAGCTTGCCTCATGGAGGTGGCATGAGAGTTAATTCTAGTGCGCAAATGTGGAGGTGGTGAGAAACCAGAGGGCCATTTAAGCTACTTGGGAAAAATTCTTATTTCCCCGGTAGCTGCTACCATGGCCTATTCTAGCAGAAATAAAAGACTCCTTCTCCAGCTCAAAGTGAGGCAGGTGCCATTGTTGCCACACACTAGCTCAAAGTTTATTCCTGTCAACAGGGAGAAGATTAAAGACTGGGTCTCCTTCTTGTCATCGTTTTTCCAGGGTATAAAAGCAGCTCATCAGAATACCAAGGTGACTGTATATCACCAATAAATAACAGGGCACCTGAGCACAACCCTCTTTCAACAGAAACAATGGTAGCTTTTTCTTTTCCCTTAGCTACTGGCATTAACACAAAGGATAAATAAGTGTATGTCCTTGCTATTTTTTTAATGATTGACAAAAGGGAAAAAACTGTTGTGTTTTTTAAGAGAGCTAAAAATACAGACACTTTGATTATTGTGGTAGGGGGGAGTGAAAGTCAACAGTAATCTAGAGCTATAGTATTTTCCACCATTATTATTCAAAGTACATAATGAATTTCTTTCAACTAAGTCTAGGCTAAATGTTACTCATTTATCAAGTACTTTAATATTCCTCTTTTGGGTAAAGGCTAGTAATTTTAGTTTTTTAAGGGACCTTTGTTAATTTATCCAAGTTCTTAGAGCAGACCTTTGCAAAAGGAACTTTCATCTCTAGGTATCTTTATTCCCGTGTTTTCTAGGATGTTCCATGCTCACAGCAAAAGCAAAGCCAAGAAGGAGGAAAAAGGAAGGTGAGTCCATGTTCAGACTCAGTGATTAGAGCAGAGGAGATGGGGTACAGGTGGAGACGCAGCTGAGAAGGGAGGCTGATTGAGGGAAATCAGGGTGGCCCTCAAGGCCAGGCTGAGCATCCTCAGGGGTTGGGAGCAGGAAAGGAAAACGCTGAAGGAATGGTCCTTGCTGTAGTAAGATAACACTGGCCAATGGCAGTCTAGATAGTTTATGGCCGTGGAGAGACACTGGAGGCAGGGAGTCCAGTGAGGAGGCTGTCACTTCATTCCAAACCCAAGATCATCACACAATTCCTTTTCGCCCCACAGGAGAGAGACCGTTTGGTTGGTAAATGGCCCATTTCTGAGCTCAGCTTTTTTTCTGGTCCTCCAAGCACATTGGACGTTGTCACCTCCACCTCACCAAGTACCAGTCTTCCCGACATGGTAATCAGAGACACCACCTTCTCTCTCTGAACACTATATGTGCGAGTTGTCCAGTGCTTCAAAATCTTCTGGATTAGCAGTTGAATTTGACCTTCCTAAAAGCTTAATACACACTAAGAATGACTTCTAGCCGTAATATTTCTGATCTATTTAATTTCCCACATGACAGATAGACTTTACCACTTGTCCTGCTACTTCTCAACGTCTTCACTCCGTTTAGATGCTCTTGACACTTATCTGGTATGTAAGCTGAGGTCCCTTTCCTTCCTCTCACATATCAGTGACAAATCCCTCTGTAAAAAGATTTCTCTTCATTTCCTGCTGTACCGTCTGTACTTCTTAGGCATTGGCAGGATTTGGTGGTTTCCTTCACTCATCCTGATTAGTCTTCTCATTAAAGTTGAATGTCATTTCATCTTCATTTCTAGCAAAATCCATTGGAGGATGTAAAAAATAATACACTTGCCTCTTGAAGATATCCTGTAATTGTATACTTGGTTTTCCTGGACTTGTGATGTTTCCAGCTTTGGATCTTAGTAATAAACAGAATAAGTGGTTTTATTGTCCGGCATAAATCCTATTTCATCACTTGGAAACACTGCCATTGATGTCCCCTCTCTGTGGGTACCGAACACATCTAATGAAGCATGGCCTCCTATTTTATCTGTCAGCTTTCCAACTATTTTAAAAGCTCTTTGTAAGATATAAAATGCACCGGGCCAGACACCTCATTCCAGTTAACCATTTAGTGATATGATAGAAATGATGGTAGGAAAAGGGGTTAGGAAGCTGAACCCTTTACAGCAAATGTCTCTTGCATTTCATTCATGAAGTCCTTTATCCCCCCAGAGATAATATTCTGGGGGTTTTTTGGGTTGGTTTTTTTTTTTTGGTCTTTTCATAGTATATATTCAGATTCAGTGATTTTTTTTTTTTCAACCAGAGTCGAGGGTACCATTGGCCTTATTGGATTTTGTCACTGTGGTTGTTTGAGAGATTTTTTTCACCCTGACTTAGCATGATCTGGTTCCATGAGTGTCTTAGTCCATTTTTAGCTGCTGTAAGGGAATACCACAGACTGGGTAGTTTCAAAAGGAAAATAAAAATGGTCACATTTCTGGAGGCTAAGTCCAAAACTGAGGGGCTCACACCTGGTGAGGAATTTCTTGTTACACATAACATTGCAGAAGGGCAAGCAGGCAGGTACAGACAAAAAAATTCAGGCTAATTTCAACCTTTTTTATCAGGAAACCTCTCACTTAGTAACAGTGTTGATACATCCAGGAGAGCAGAGCTTTCATGGACTAATCTCCTCTTAAAGTCCCCATCTGCCAATACTGTTACAGTGGTAATTAAATTTCAACCCGAGTTTTGGAGGGGACATTCAAACCATAACAATGAGTTTGGAGCTAGAAAATGGACACAACCTAAATACAGATGCTCCAGGACTTAAGGTGGAGTTACAACCTGAAAAAATGCATCATTAATTGAAAATATCATAAGTTGAAAATGCACTGAATACACCTAACCAACAGAACACCACAACTTAGCAGCACAATACACAGTGTAGAGTACAGTACACTGTGGGTTGTTTCCCCTGGTAGCTGCAGAGCTGCTAGGGAGTGCAACAACACTAGAAATTAACACACTGCCTATCACTGGCCCGGGAAAAGATCAAAATTCAAACTTTGGGGTGTGATCTTTGTTAAGTGTGCACTGCTTTTGCATCATCATGGAGTAGAAACAAAAAAATTGAGTTGAACTACCATAAGTCAAGGATCATCTATACCTACCTTTTAAAAATCGCCTCTCAAAGACTTCTCAGAGAACACTGAGGGTGTTTTGAACATGTCCCGCCATCAGGCATTGTTCTTGGAGCAAGTAAATTGTACTCATAACAGTTCCCCTGTCACACAGAGGAGCCACTTTGGTAGAGTATCCCGTATCTCGCAGGGGAGGGGAGGCTGTAATTAATTGGTTGAACCCGCATCAGCTTGAAGCCTATAATTTGTACTGTCACATGTTCAACTCTGCCTAATTGCACTGCTGTGGAAACAGTAGATGTATGTGAACAAAGCACAAAAGAGGAACACTGAGCAGGAAAGGGAAAGGTACAGGACTTGACTCTGGGCTACTTTCTCAGATAGCAGGAGCTGACACATGGCAAAAGGATGGGAGAAGGGATCCCATGGCAGTGACTTTGAGTGCCACCCACAGGACAAAATCACTTGCTCTGAGTTACAGCACAACATAGTTGGGAAACAAATCTGAATGATGTGCTTCCAAATTTACATCATCGGAGGTGACCAGATTCAAGCAGCAACTTTGAGGCATATGGTCTCTGAATACAACCTTGGCAGATCCGCTGATCTTGTCAACCCATCTCTGCGTTTCCAGAAAGCATGTGGTTTAATTCTGTCTCTTTAGGGAAATTTCATTTTGGGAAAAGAGAAAGAAACCCATTAATTCTTTCTGCATCTCTTTTATTCAGCATTTAATGGAAAAAAGTACCCCAGGATACAGGCAAGCTCATCTTCCACATCTTCACTTGCCAGAAACCACCGAAGACACAGAAAAATGGAATGGTTATCTTTCTCCTCGCAGTGTTCTTTCAGAGGTAACCCCTCCCATCCACTAGTCATTCATTTCTTCAGCAAATGTTCACTGAGCCTGTGCCACGCACTATTCCTGAGAAGAATAGTTGTCTGGGCAGTCCTTTTGCATTCTGGATCGAAAGAAAGATAAGAGCAAATATCCTTTGGTGATAAATTGTATGGTGTGTATTAATCTGTTTATTGCCCTAGGCGTGGTGCCCTAGGCGTGGTGGCTACAGCAATGAACCTGACATTTCCCGTGCCCTAAGAGTGCACAGTGTCAGCTGCAACATGATAATGCCACACAGAGAGGCACAAAGTGCTCTGGAAGCATTAGAAATAGGACAGTGCTTCTCTCTCCACTGGAGTCAGGGAAGCCTTCAGAGATTAAATGGAGTTTGGTGATTAGCTCAGTTAAGCTGAAACTCAGAGTATGTGAATGGCATAGCAACAACAAAACAACCTGACTGTGATTGGTCTCGATTTTTGCATAGGGGCAGAGGTGGCTTCCAAGTTGGGAAGTGGTAAAACCCAAATTGTCTTTCGGTCATATCCACCCAGCAGGTCTATCTATAGTGGACTGAGAAAATGAAAGTAGAGATAGAAAGACAAATGGGTGGGGAGGTGCATCATTTCCTAAATGGGGGATTTTCTACTAGATGATGACTTGTTCATTTAAAGAAGCATCCTAGGATCAGGTAGGTTATGGAAATGCTGGTTTAAAGTTAAATAAGCTCTGTATCGACAAATTCTCAGAGGCTTTGGTGTGCAGTGGTGCACTATGAAGAGCCAAGTGGTATACAACACCCAGTATTTCCCAGGCTCGTTTGACTACAGAACCTTCTTTCCCCAAAAATATTTTCTTACTAGTGTTTCCTGGGGCAGAGTCTTTTATGAAAGTCCAGCCAACCATGTATTATCCACATCAGTTATAAGCCAGCATTTGACAGATACTCTATAGAACGCAGAGTCTAGGAAGGCAGATAAAACTGTGCAATAGGAATTCAGAGAGTCATCAGTAGTGGCTGAGGTGATGGAAGTGGGTATGTGAACTACCTGTTAGCATAGTAGCCTGAGGCCAGCTCCACATTGAGTCTGGTCTTGGACTCACAGCTTCCATGATTCTGTACTAGAACTGACCAGGGGAAAGGGGTTGTGTCATTAAGTGCCTAGTGATGAAACAAAAAGGTCAATAGCAATTTAGTCCAATAGAACACTTGTGTCAAGAGGATGGGGACCTGGAAGAAAATAGGCTTTGAGTCTACCAGAAGCTTTGCTGGTTCAGTCTCATGTAGGAAAGGATGGTTGATATTCCCCAAATGAGAACCACTGTTCATCCAACAGTAGATGCACTTACTATTTCAGGGCCCAGAGCAATAAATGTAAGAAAGTGTCTGGCTGATTGGTAGACTTGCATCCTTCTGACTCTTCCTCTTATCTTTAGCTGGACAATGTTTTTGATTCCAATGACTTTGGTAAACCTGGTTGTCCAGATGGGGTCGTCAAGGAAACTGAGAGCCATTATATGACAATGAAATCCTTGTAAGTAAAACTGACATCTTAAAATTTGATTTAAACTAATGTACTCGTACAATTACTACCAATTCATTTTTAATAGTTGAGAAACTAATATGCAATATTACCTCGGACTCCATTTAACACATTATTTAGCACAGGTTGAATATCCCTTATCCAAAACACTTAAGACCAAAAGTGTTTCAGATTTTGGAGTCTTTGTATATACATAAGGAGGGGCCCAGGATTTAGCTCAGTGGTTCTGCTGCCTGCTTTGTATATACATAAAGAGATATCTTGGAGATGGAACTTAAGTCAATGAACATGAAATGCATTTTGTTTCATATACACCTTGTACACATAGCCTGAAGATTATTTTATATAATGTTTTAACAATTTTGTGCATGAAACAAAGATTCATGGTGTGGAATTTTCCATGTGTAGCATCATATTGAAACATTTCATATTTTGGAGCATTATAGCTTCAGACTTTTGGGTAAGAAATGTTGGAATTTATTTTGTGATCTCAAAATAAGAAAAAGTAGCAATGGTTTTCCCATCCACAGAAAACCATCAAGACATTTTCTGTCTGGGAAAGTTGCTTCCTATTTTGCATTTATGTCTCTCACACTCTCACTCTGTCCTCCAAATCCTGTAAGGGGTTATTTTGATTCCATATCCATTTTTAGAAGAAAAGCTCGTTGGGTTTGATTCTCATTATGGCTCTGACCCTGAGGTTTGGACATGCTTAAAGACCTTGTTACTTTTCACACAGCTGTTAGCTGCTGAAATCTGACATACATTGTGGAAATTTGTAAATAGGCATGCTAAAAAAAGGGTGTGCTTTAACTTCTTATACTCTAGATTTTTCAAAGAGACAACCAGTGCATCTACTGATGGTCAGAGGGAACCCCAGACCTTTCCAGAGATCCAGGCTGGGAGGCCTCACCAGCAAGATGAAGACTCAGGAAGTGATTCCTGCCTTTCACCTGCCAATACAGAAGCACAAACTGCAAATGACAAACTGGGGTCGGCCTCGCTAAGTGTTGTGAAATTGTCTATTTTACTCAAGTAAAGCTCTGATTTCAACTTTATGGGCCCTGAGAGCAAAGCAGGCTTCCTGTTTTCACTTAGAATTCAAATTTTGAAACAGTTCTTAAAAATCTCCAAGTCAGCCAAGAATCTGAGCAGTTTCTTCCTGTAATTGATGTTGTGGCCAAAGACAGTGACTAGCTGGGCTGGAGAAAAGCTTGGTCCCCTGGGGTGTCCTTGGGCTGAAGGTGGTAGTTGTTACTGTTTTTATAAATTCTCCCTTGGCTAGTCTTTCAGGTCCTGAAACTTAGAATCTGTACGATCTAAGTAATACATCAGCTGAGTTTTATCCTTAGCCTAATTATGGGCACACAAGTCTCATGATGCTTGGTTATAAGGATGTTGTTTAGATTTTATGTGAGGTCAAGAAAACTTCCTAAGATTGTTGCCATTTGAACTCTGCTCCTTGTCCTCTTCTATGGAATCATATCTAGGAGAGAAATATGCAAACTGATCAGATGTAGATGGTTATATAACCAAATTAGTCCACTTCTGCCCCCTTCCCACTGCATATCACCCACTTCCCCATCCTAAGATGGACAGGGAAGGACATTAATGACTAATTTTTAGGAATTTAAATTCATATGTCTCTTCACATGTTTTAAACAATCTTTACCTGGAAAAATATCATCTCAGAAATAGGCCAAAATCTACTCAGAAAGGACAGTTCAGAACCAGGGACAGTTGCCTGATGTGACTTTTACAAATGTTTTCTCTCTCAGTAACAACTCTGATGAAAGCCACATGGAGACCTTGAACATTTTCCTTTCTGCTCCTGATATCATAAACTATCTTGCTGTCATAGAAGCTGCAGGACGGATATGGTAGGTGGCCATATGTTAGTATGTTAGTGATCGTAAATGAGATTAAAAGTTAAGGCAATTCTAATCTGAAACACTACTTGACAAAACTGACTGAGGACTTGGATTGTTGTCTTTGAGGCAAAAGAATAGTATTGAGGTGTGGAGAGTCAACTGAGAAGTGGGTATAAAAGAAGACCCCAAAGTCCAGGCAGTGGCACATTTCTGATTTCTCAAAGGTGAGACAGAGTGGGTAAGAGCACGTATGTCCAAGAACATCATGCACTTCCCAGTGACTATTTCACGAAGGAAAGAAGTGAGCGAGGTTAACAAGAGCCAGTGATCTGGAAGAAAAAGGCAGATCAGGTAAGGCTTCCAGACACCAGCTAAAAGAACCTCTGGCCAAGGACTCAGATTTACAACTGTGTGCCGGAGAATTTTCTTAACATAATCACTATTTATTTGATTCTAAATTCTTTTTTCTTTTTTTTTATCCAGCATTAGGAATTGAACCCAGGGATGCTCTACCATGGAGCTACATCTCTAACCCTTTATGTTGATTATTTTGAGACAAAGTCTTGCTAAGTTGCCCAGGACAGTTTTGAACTTGCAATCTTCTGGCCTTAGTCTGATGCCTGGCTTTATTCTACACTCTTTTAAAAACTGTAACTCGGGCCAGGGATTTAGCTGAGTGGTTCCACTGCCTGCCTCGCAAGTGCAAGGACCCGGAGATCAATTCCCGGTACCAAAAAAACAAAAACAAAAACAAAAAACTGTAACTCACTTTGATGGAAGATTGCATGTTTAGAAGAGTATCTTATAATGTAAAATAAATGCTACATGCTTGTTGTCTTCTAAGTGGGTGGGAATCATAACCTTTCATTTTTCCAAATTTTCCACATCCAAAACCTCAATAAAAAATCAGACTGTGGACTTCTCTGTGACCACGTTTGCTCATTCATTCATTCATTCAATATTGTGTAATTTTATGAGCTTACTTCCAGCAAAAACACATGGAGCATCCTCTATTTACTTGAAGTTGTGGAGTTATAAAAATTTTAAAACAAAACAAACAAAAATATGGCACCACACTTCCAAGTGAACAGAGGGTCAAGTGAAAGGGTAGCCTCATAAACAAGTACACATATAATGCATTTAAAATATGCTAAGTAAGTTACTTAGAAATAGACATGCAGTAGAAGTTCACAGGCAGGAGAGATTCGTTATAGCAAAGGGAGTAGAATGTAGGGTTTTCCAGGAAGCAGGGTTCTGGAGGGAAGTTTAGGCTGTAACAGCAGTGACCAAGAAAAAGTTCCTCCAAATGGAAAGGGAAAGAGACTCTATTTTAGGTTTGGTGCAACAGCTCAGAGGAAAGAGTCTCTGCAGGCCACATCCTTATCCTGTTCTCCCTATGCATTCTGTGTCTCACCCAGGTATTAAGTGTTGTGTTTCTACTGCAGTGTGGCTCAGTGGCAAGGCCCCCCACACCTGGGATGCTTATTTTGCCATGGAGATCATATCTTGGCTGTGAATGGCATGAAGCCCCATGACCTGGGAGAGGTGTCCCTGTTTCTCACCCGGTCTATACAGAAGAAGGTGAGTCTTGCTGACCAGCCCTAGCCAGGGCAAACCAGAGCCAGTGGAAACAAGATCAGAATTTTAGAGTGAGTCTTCTGAAAAGTGTTTAGAATACGAAGGAAATTCTTCCCTTTCATATAAGGTAGTATATGGCACGAGCACTGGCCTGGAGACAAGGTACTGGGTTCAAGACCTCAGCAGAAGGACCTGTGTGGAATCAGCCTGGCCTCTGGATCGCAAAAACAATGTCTTTCACCAGCTTTTTTCTATTTCCTCTAATTCTATAAGATTAGGGATACTCAGTGCCAGTTGCTGGAGAAGTAAATAATATGTTCTAATGTGCTTACAACAGTGACTGGCACATAAAGAACACAATCTAGTCACCGTTATTGTTACTTCTCCTTTGGTTGTCCATGGACTGTTGGACAGGATCACCTTTTTAAGCCTTAGTTTCTTCATCAAAGAAATCAACATTATCTTATGTTCCTCTTGGGCTTATCATAAGAATTAAACATAACATGAGGGTCTGCTCCATAAGTATATTTTCAAAGGACTGACCTACTTTTTACATTTTTATTCTCATTAGTACATGTTTGGAGTACATAATGATTACATTCATCAAGGAAGTAAAGACGTGCACAACACAGTTTACTTCTTTTTATATCCTCTTCCCTGGGCTAGCTTATTTTTAAATGATCTTGTCTATTAATACATTTTTCATATAACTCATTCCTTCCTGGGCAATGCTGATTTCTAACTAGCCCTATGACCTTGAGAAAGTCATGTTCTTCTCTGGGCTTGAGTTTCTTCTAAAGTGAGAAGCTCAGTTTTCAAACTGTAGTTACTGGACCTGTGGGATGAGCAGGAGAAGAGGAATGGGACAGTATTCTGGGGCTTCAATAAAAAATTCCACATTATGATTTCACTTTTATAAACCTGGTAAGTCCAATGCATTGTCCTGTTAGTTTTCCTTGAAACCACAGTTCCTTGACTTGAAATTTCTGGAAAAAATACCAGATAATTTTTCTTACAGCTCTGAGAATGCATGATTATATACCAGACGTACAGCATTTCAGGGGCTTCTCTAGTCTGATTTTTCAAACTTTCCCAAACTTCTCCCATGAACCAGTCCAAAGGGTTTTAAACCACACAGTCAGGTAGTCAGAGCAACGATCCAACTTCCGGTACCAGAATCTGTCTGAGTCGCTTTCCTCACCCCTAGGAGGTAATACCTAACACAACTTAAAGGAGGAGATGTTTATTCTGGCTCATGTTTTCAGTCCATAGTCAGCTGGCACCAAGGCAGAACAGCATGGCAGATGGGTGGAACAGAAATAAAGCTGCGCATACCATGGTAGACAAGAAGCAAAGAATGAAGGAAAGAGCCTACAGGGCATGCCCCTGGTGACCTGCCTCTTTCAACTGACTTTACCCCCAACATCACACTCAGTCATTGAACCCACCAGTGGACTGGATCCATTAACGAATGCAGTCCCCCAGGATCCACCTACTCTCCACCTCTAAGTGCAAGAGAGTCTTGAGGGATAGTCCAGATCCAAACCACAACAGGGGCCAAGTGGTCAAGAGAACCTCTGTACCTTTTGGAAAGTAACCAAACAATATTCTGACCCAAAGAGCCAGGCACTGGTTAAAAGACTAAGAAAAGAGTTTTGGACTGGGAGCATACATAACAACTCTACCGGGTGTCACTGCCTGCACTTCGTCATGTTTGCTTTCTGTACTGGGGAGTCATTCGCACAGGCAAAGGATACCAGAATTTCTCTTGTGCTTATTCTGTCTTCCTCCTTATGTTTGATAACAGTTCCTGGATGCTACTGAGAATTATAGTGTACTCACCAACATTATCATCTGGAAGAAGAGAAGATTCTCCTCCTTCCCTCCCTTCCTGACTTCTTTCTTTTATGTAAAAATGAATATCTTGGGCTGGGGATTTAGCTCAGTGGTTCCGCCGCCTGCCTTGCAAGCACAAGGTCCCGAGTTCGATCCCCAGTACCAAAAATAAAAATAAAAAATAAGAAATCCAAATACCTGGTCCCCGAAAGGAGAAAGTTTGTTGAAAAAGGGACGTGTGGCACCCAAAGAGAAAGAACAATAGCCATTAATGTTTTAAAGCACATGAATCAATCAGGTCTACTTTTCTTCCTCTTAGGATACAGTTTCGAGATGGGAGGTTGGGGTAGGTATTGGATAAGGACAGTGAGGAAGAGAATGTAAGATTTTTTTTTTTTTTTTAAAGGCAGGGTAGGCAGTGTGTAGAGGGAGGAGCAGGAGGATATACTAGATTTTTGGGAGAAACTCATTGAACCTTGATTTCTTCCCGGTTTTGTCTAGGTCTGGTTCTTTCTGATGGCTTTATTTTGATCCACTGGTCTCAAAAGACCTTTTAAATTCTTGGTGTTACTGGTCCCCTTTTGGTTCCACTCTCTGAGATCTACCCTAAAGGCCGTTGAGTGGATGCCAGAAAATAAAAATTCATCCTCTAACAGAATATGCAAGTTACTAAGTCATTTCCAGTTTCCTCTGGCCTATTGTAGTTCATCTCAGGTTTTTCTTCAAAATCAAATTCAGTGGTGTGAAGGAGGACAGACTGAGAACCAAGAATCTTAAAAATAATCTTCACTCATTTCATTTCCTTTTTTCTTGCATTTCAGAGAGTAAAACTCACCATAGGCCGGATCCAAAATTCAGAGAAATTCCATGTTACACCCTGTACATGCACCTTAAAAAACCAAGGGACTGCCCCTGGTCTACAGGATACATCTAAACTGAAGAGGAATGTGGCAGTTAAGAAGGACCAGCAGAAAGGAGATGGAAAGTAGCCTGCTGTGGACCCACTGCAGCAGGGGGATGGAGCCTTGGCAGGCCCTGGGCTCTGCTACATGCAGCCCTGTGATACAAGACAAGCTCACACACCTCTCTAAATCACCATATCTGCATTTTAGCAATGGGACTGACTATCCTCTCTCTGGGTATCGCATCAGGGATGCTGAGAAGGTCAGGTGGTTTAAGGAGGAGGGATCACAGTGAAGATGGAAGGCCATATTATCTGAGACCTTGTCCCAAACAGTGCAGAGACAGATTGGGCAGGTCCTTCATCTAATTAATACCCACTGTATATTCTGTGAGGTCATGGTCCACATAATCACTTCTTTGTGGAGGAACAGTTGAAAATGCTTACTGCAGGAAGGCAAGATTCCCCAGAGAGATGTGAGACCCTCTAGGCTGGCCCAAATACCTCCCGTGACTATTCACTTCCCAGAATCTAGAATGCAAGGGCAGGATGGCCTCTTGGGTTCAATCCATCTCTTTTCTTAAAGACCCAGTAACTATTTTAGAAGTTGAACCAGTTGTAGGATTCAAATCCAAGGTTGATTTCCTTGCTTCACAAATAATAAGAGAACTGCATATCAGTTCTAAGTTTGAATATTCTTAAATTATTGATGCATGAATAAATTGATCCTGGAAGGCCAAAGGAATTAAATGCTTTTTCATAAATAGGAAAACAAAGACAGAGCACTAAAGCACTAATCCAACTGGGGAAAGTTAGAGCAAAAGGGGCCTTGGAAAATATGTCTTGCTTGGTTGTTATTTCACATGGAAGAAATCAAGGCCTAGCACAGTGAATTATGTACCCTCTTTATGGCTCCAAGTTTCACAGCTGTTTAGAAGCAGAGCCAAGAATCTAAAACCATCTTTGGAAAGCAAGTGTTCCAATCTTCAACTTTTTTTTTTTGTTTTTGGTGTTGAACTCAGGACCTTGTCCCGGCGCGGTGCTACTGAACTAAACCCCTGGCCCAACTTGTATCTGAATTTAGATTAGAAAAGATCTTCAGCACTCACAAGATACTTTCAAATACATTTCATCTTCTTTCTGTTGTCCAGGAAGGATAAAATATTCTCATTTACAAGCCATGTTTGACCTACTATCTCTTGCTTCTAGAAAAACATATAAACACACAATCGTATCTGCAAAATCCAAAATGTTTACTGACACACCTTAGCATTGTTTGCAATAATTGAAAAGTCACTTGGGGATTGGTTAATTACTATTTTATTAATTACTATAGAATTGAACAGGGAAGATGTTAAAAAGGTTGGTGTATATAGTTATGGGTAATGTACATAATATATTAGGAGTGAAAGAAGTAGACTGCAATACAGTAGGTGTAATATTGACCTATTTTTGTAAAATTTGGGGGGTTTGTGTAGTTATGCATATGAAATCTCCCCAGTGCTAATTAGGATTGAGCCACCTACCTCTTGGGGAGGTTGTAAGGTTTCAATTTGGTACATATCTCTCCTCCTAAACACTCCATCCATCTAGTGTTATTCTGGTGCCTCTCTGCTATATCTTTTTGTCTTTTTTTTTATGTTAAGAATAGCCCACACTCAATTGTCAATAAAAATTAGATTCTAAAAAGCATGATCAGGGTTGGTCCTGCGGGAGAAGCATTTCTGTAATGTTAGAATTTGTGTTTTCTTTTTATCATGAGCATATGTTTGTTCCTTTTGCAATGAAAAGTGTGGAAAAGAAATAAATATACATATGTGCATTCATCAGTGAGAAACCAAGCTACCTCCGTAAAGGAAACAAAAAAACTATGAAGGTAAAACCACCTGACAACCAACACTGTGGATAAACACAGAGCTCTGAAGCCCAAAGGTCTCCCCTGGTTTGCTCAGAAAGCTTTCCTTTGATGCCAACAAAAGCCAAAATGAAATAAACTTCAGCCATCCGGTCCCTCCACTCCCACTGAAGCAAAGAGGAGCCAAAGGACTAAAGACTTCCTCAGGTAGCCTGTTCCTTACCCTTTCCAATCTCAGCAGAATTAGCCAGGGTGCTTTTATTTGGACGCTGCTCTAGAAGGTTCTCCCACGTGAAGAGTTTGTTCGCAAAAGGATATCTCAGGGTGGACTCCAAGATTCTGACACGGTGCGGCCCAGGTCTGAATTCTAATGACATTCCCAAGGATCTGAACACCGCTTGATCAAAGAACACGCGTTTTGGAAAAGAATCACTGTGGTACAGCATGGAGGGTGGGTTCCCTGGGAGGGTACAAAACATGGGCATTCTTGAGGGGAGATGGCCTAGTTTTCAGCAGTTCTAAGGAGGCTAATGACCACCACTCCCTACCCTGCCTCTATAAAGGACTCCCAATCCTGAAGGAAGCAGTCTGGTATTCAGTATTGCTGTCTGCTACCTGGGGAGTGCCCAGACTGTTGCCTGAAGAAAGAAGGCCTTCTGACTGGGTGTGGCCACATGCTGTTGGGCAACTGAGGTGCAGAGAAGAATCTGCAGCTTTCTCCTTCTCCCTGTTGTTTCTCAGGGTCCAGTTCCTCATTGCAGCCTCTTCCCAGAACTAGAGGCTGACACTTGTTGCTAGGACTGAATCTAGGTTCTTTTTCCCCCTCCCAATAGTGGTAGCACCTCAAAGAGAGCTCCTGGCCAAACTGGTCCAACACTCTGGGAATCAAAACAGTTGTCCCAGAGCCCAGCTTTCAGGGTCCTCTTCAATTGCACAGCTAAGAGTACTGCAAGATGTCTGGTTGAGAGACAAGAGAGTTCCCCAGGACAGGGCTGACTAAAGGCCCTGTAGCATACAATTTCACCACAGTGAAGAGGGTGAGACAAACCTTTATCCCACCTTGCTACTCACAACCACATGCACAGCCAGCCTCAGTAAAAACACTATTTGACTCTTTCCTTCCAGAGCTGTCCTTGATGTCCACTCCAACTTCACTCCAAGTAGATGAACATGGGCTGGACACTGCACAAAGGCCAGCCCAGATGTCCCGGGAGGGATGGCCCTCTTCTCGACCTATTTCTAGAAGAAAGAAGGGAATTAGAATAGACTGTGGCCATCCTTGGCCTCAATGTGATGTCCTCTTTCAGTCTTGCTGAAGGAGATGCCAGAACTCAGGAATGTGGAGAGACACCTGGGCTTTTCCAGCTCCGTGCCAGCCTGTGGCTTCTAGGCCAACACTCTTTTCTGCATTTGCAAGACTTTTCAACAGGGTGTTTGGAGGTGCCACCTGTCTGGTCTGTTCCTGCTTCCTGGCAGGTACCCCTGTCTCCAGGACAGGCCTCAGAGGGAGTCTGTAGGCATCCGTTGTGTCCTCTGCTGAGAATGCAGACTATTCCAACTGAAGTCTAAAAAGCAGCTGGCAAAATGTAAGACAGGGAATGAATGCACAGGGAGGGCCAAGTACATCCATCCTTACTTGACACTGCCAGTATGCACTCCAGGATGGCACCCTAGAGGTAGACAGTGAACCACCACACATTTACAATGCATGCACACAGGTGTGGGTATGCATCCATGTTGGGTAGAAAAGGCGGGTGGGGAGTTATTCTTTAATAAATTGAGAAGCTGGAACACCACAATGACCTGCCCCACCTCTTTCTCATCAGAGCATGTGTCAAGAGACTTTCCCTTGGGATGAGAAGAATTTAAAGTGTCATAAACAGGCCCAAAGGGAGAGGGCTTTTAGATTCAGCTGCATTAAATCAGGGTTCTTTTGTCAAGTTAGACTTGTGGGTATGCAAGAAATGTGTTTTATTGAGAAAGCTCTTTAAAATGTCTGAATCAATGAAGTATGCGGTCAATGATCAACAATCTAATAGGATGGATCCTGGAGCCATTCTCCAAATCAACTCTGACCAGATGGTTTAGGAAGCCAGATTTTTGTTTTTTGTTTTGTCTTTTTGGTACCAGGAATTGAACTTGGGACCTTGCATTTGCAAGGCAGGCAGCGGCACCACTGAGCTAAATCCCCAGCCCTTAGGAAGCCAGATTTTTAAGCAAATCTCACACAGCACTGAACTCAGGAGCGGAGCTCCTGTCATGGCTGCCTCAAAGTCTCAAATTGACTCAAATATGTTTACCTTTGTTGGTCATTTTGACTTTCAGGAAGAGCCAGGGTTCAACAGTGCCAGACCTGATAAGTAAGATTGATGAAGATAATATTTTTATGAGTCTGCCGTTCTTTTGGATAGCATGGTAGCACCATGCTAAATTTTTATCGTACCTCATAAAGACACACATGAAAGAGGATGTTCAGTCCTGCTTCAGAGAGTGGCAAGAACAATAGGATAAAGGGGTTTGAAGGGAGAAGAAATATTTCGAAGGGATTAATGGCGATTTGTCTTTCACTGTAATAATTTTTTTCTAATTAAGCCTTCACTGTAGTTCTTGGTCACCCCTTGAAATATTCATCACACTCACCAATATAGATTGAATATCACTTATCTGAAATATTTGGAGCCAGAAATGTTTCAGATTTCAGATTCGGGGGCATTTTGGAACATTTGCATATCTCTAATGCTATATCTGGGGGGATGGGACACAATTTCTAAACATGAATTCAATTGTGTTGCATATATGTTATCTTATATACATAGCCTCAAGTTAATTTTATATTTTTAATGATTTCATGCATGATACAAAGTTTCACAGTGTAGAATGTCTGATTTGTGACTTCATTTCAGTACTTGAAATTTTTCATATTATGGGGCATTTAAGACTTTGGATTTTCAAATAGGGATATTCAACTTCCCCTTCCTAAGGAATACGGAGCTGTGGAGAACTATTTTCCTCTATGCCAAAGAATTCCGGACTGCTTCTGTTTATGCTGTGGGCTGGAGCAGCAAACAGTGTAGCTTGTTATAACTATGCACACACTGACAGCCATGAGTGTGAGTATAAAAGGTTTTATAAGCAAAAGACACCTGATTTTACCATAGACACTGTGCCACTGACTTGGGGCTCAGGTGCCTTAATGTGTGTTGCAGTGGTGATGAACGTATCTTCATTGGCTTGGCTTTTGGTTCTCACATGTCTTCTAAACAGATAAGACCATTAGAGACATAACTGTGAGTTGAGTAAATTACTGTTTAATAAAAATTGCAATATTAACTATCAAACTCTGTGGGGACAAAGGAGTTCAGAAAAGAAAAGAGAACCCGATGGAATGGAATGCTAGTCATGATTCACATTTGGTAGGTGCCTTCTGTGTCCTAGGCACTACCCCACACACCACTGAATCCTATATCCTACAAGACTGTCACAGGAACCTTCTGGCTATGCCACAATGTTATTGGGTAGCTCCTTCTAAAAGTGGCTCGCCGATTAATCATTACCAGGCTCTGGGTGGCTCGCCTCTCCTTTCAGAGTTAGAGTCCAGATTCTTCTTGTCTTGAACAAAGAATTGAATGAAATATGAGAAAATCAGTGGCCAAGTTTATTTGAGAAAGTAAAAGTGAAGGAGTGAGGGAGAAACTTGTTCTGCAGAGTGAGCTTGGGCTAAGTAAAAGGGGAAAAAAAAACAACAACAGAAGAACACCCTCAAGAAAGCAGGACAGACTACTGTGAGGAAAGTCACCATAGTGGGCTCCTTGTGGTGTTTGCATTCTTATATGCTGTCCAAATCTGCAGGAAACCCATGAGGACTTCTACATGTGGGTCCTAAGTGGTGCTGGGACCCCAGGCCTTCGGCTGATAACAGTCCAGGACATCCTATTGCAAACTTGCTCAAGTTAATGAGAGTCCAGGAGCAGGGCTTTGGGAACTGTTCTGCACATATGTTCTGGCATCTTGTTATTAATAGATCATGTTTATTTCTCCAGCCAGCCTTACCATGCCCAAATCTCCTCTCTCAAGACCAAGGCTATTATCATCCACCACTTTTAGATGGGAAACCAAAGCATAAAGAAGTTGCAACAGTCATGACTAGCTACTGTAAGAGCCGGAATTCAAACCAGACAAACTCGCTTTGGAGAGCTCAAGGCTGTCTCTACACATGTGACAGCCACCAAGAAAAGGAGGTGAAACTGAGCTGATTAAGTGCATACTACAGCAAGGGACAATGGTGCAGACAGAAGCAAGCAGGGCGTGCATTTCCCAAGTAAAAACAAGGCATGTGTAGAGTAATATTTTTTCATATTTTTCTGATTTCAGTAACATGAATCATCTTCAAGCCTCTTGCCTAGTAGAACCACAAAAACTCACATCTTGTATTCCAGAGGGAAATTTTACTGAGGCTCCTATTATAACAAGTCAGTATGTTTTCCTTTTATATGGCTGCCTGGGTCTACGTGACAAATAAGTTAACACAAAATTAAAGCATATCTCCACTGACAAAAGCATTAAGTTGGTCTTTCAGGATTGGAGGTAAGGAATAAGGAATCATTAACTTTGCAAACCTTACCATTAAGCAAGGATAATAAAAACATATACACAGGGCTGGGGATTTAGCTCACTGGTTCTGGTGCCTGCTTCGCAAGTGCAAGGACCCAAGTTCAATCCCTAGCACAAAACACACATACACACACACACACACACACACGCACAAAATACTATAAGTTAAGTGTGATTGTTCCTAATTCTTCATTAAGATACAAATTTCATGTTATAATCACAGAAGACTTAAAGACTAATCCTATTTAGTTTTTTTAGAAAAAGCTTAAAGGGAAGGATAAATTGGTGGGAGGATTTCATATCTCCAAGAATGAATAGAATTTGTTGATATGTCAGAATAGGCCAGATGCCCAGTTTACAGCAACTCAAGTGTAACTGAAGGGCCAAGAACTTCTCAAGAATCTAGAGAACACCTTAATCAGTTGTCATTATTGGCACTTTTGAGCACTTCTTGGATTCAGGGCACTGTGCCAAGAACTAGTGGTGTTGATAGCCCATAAAATGTATTCTCTCAGGGAGCTGATGGCCTAATTAAGGACACGGGTATAGAAATCGTTTAGGGGTAAACACTTCCCCCATAGAGAATGGAAATATATATCCACATGTAAACTTATAAAGGAGTATGTGACACAGCATTGTTTTGTAATAGCTAAAAAGTAGAAATGTCCATCAACTGATGAATGGCTAAAAATAAAATCTGATAAAGTAATACAATCAAATATTATTCAGCTATAAAAAGGAATGAAATACTTATCCATGCTACAACATGGATAATCCTTGAAAACACTGGACTAAGTGAAAGAAGCTAAATCAAACACACCACATATTATATGATTCTATTTATGTGAAATATCTAGATTAGACAAATCCATAGAAACAGAAAGTATTAGTGGTTGCTAGCATAGGGAGTGATTGTTAATGGGTTCATAAAATGTTCTGAAATTAGATATTGGTGATGGTTGTCTAACTGTGTATATACTAAAAAACACTGACTTGCATACTTAAAAAGGTGAATTTTATAATATATAAATTATATTGCCATTAAAAAAAACGAAAACAAAAACCTAGCTCCAAACTAGAGTAAGGAAATTAGAGATTACATCATCTCCTAACTTTGGAGATTATCTTTGTATAGTTGATAAAGGATAAAGGCAGGGGCAGCCTTGCTAATGTGATAGCCAGCCTGACTCCATCTTGAGCCTCACCACCATTTTGTGCTTGTACTGGACAAAGCACCCAAAGCCCACATCCTGTTCGGCAGAAAACTTGCTGCTGGTGCAGGATGTTGTGTAGCTCACCCAGGGTGTGAAACTTCCTCTTGCCCCCCACTAACCTGACATTGCTCTGCTTCTATAAAATTCTGCTTGCGCACTCCTTCAGTCTTCCACAACTGAAAACATGATTTAAAAGGAGAAACCAAACCACTTCTCAGTGCTGAGAGTCCCTTCCGGTCACGAGCCCCTCTCGGTCACTGGCTTCCAATAAACAGGCTCAAATTTGACTCAGCGTGACACACCTCTCTTGTTCCAACTCGCTCGGTTAGAACACTGTGGTCTAGTTAATCAACCTTTCCCAAAACATTGTTTCATGTGAACCTGGTAAAACTATCCCTATGGAAGAAACACTTG